ACAAAAAACTTCCTGTATTAAAACACGTTATCATTGGCATTCTAATTTTCACGCTGTAAAATCCTAACGGAATCAAAACTGTCATTTTACTGCAAATTAAACCAGCAAATACTATAATAGACAGTAGCAGGTTTAGGCCTTCAATAAAAGTCTGCCATTCCTTCTCTTCATCAGTATTTCAGACCAAGATGGTAGTCAGATGAACAAAGCCCCACTTTTCTTCCAGAAAAAACCAAGACTGCACTCTAGCTTTGTCGATATGCTTTTCTCCATAGCTCCTTCTGGGCAAATGAATCTCACACAAAATCTTATAACTATAGACTCCTTCACTGGCACTTCCTGAACAGATTTCCAACAGTCTGAAGCCACCTGGCTCCGCTCTTAGGCTGCACTGCTTGCTTCTTCTTTTTCCTGCATCTAGATGGCTGCTGTTTTTTTTTAAGGAAGCATCATAATGTAGTAATGAGCTACTCATGCTGTCATTTCAATAAAGAATTGCATTTCAATAAAGAATTGCATTTCAATTCCTTTTTTTTTTTTTTTTTTTTTTTTTTGAGATACTTCCATTCATCCATGAGTATTGCATTTACCCCCAGCTGGGCTGCCAATCTGTCCACAAATGAACTGGCCAGTTAGCAATTTTACCATGTAATAACATCATTATCCCTAAAATCTCAGTCTATACTAAGTTACTATGGCGAATCAAACATTTATATGGAAACTGCTTTTTGTGAATTAATCTTTACAGCCAGTTCATCTGAGTGAAAATAATGCACCTAAATCCTTTTATGCACTTAATGCATAAAATGCATAAATGCACCTAAGTCCGGTTCTTTTATGGTGCTCAATGAAATAAAAGTGGCTCCATAGTGGTGTAGGTGTCCCCGTGGTCCTAAGTCCATGACTGAGTCGTTCACTTGTTAATCAGTATGAATAATCACAAAAGGTCTCCCCGTCATTTGTATAAAGCACAAAGGGTGTATAGGACTTACAAGGAACCAACAGTCACTTTAGTAACTGTTAAGCATAAGAAGGCTCAATCATAAATTCAAAATATGCACTTTGATCCAATATTAAAGTATTAATACTCCCTTGTGATTATGCTCTGAGATTAGAATATATTAGTTCTCAACCACAAAGTAACACCTAGTATATTTTGTGGTATCAAAGATAGGGATGGTCTCTTAAGGAGATAGTTATCTCAATGTATTTCTTTAATATAAAAGTAATTCATATGATTTTCTGCACATCTTGCAGGTTTGCAAGATTTTTCTTTTCTGTAGAGAATTGATTCCTCTATAATCAAATAATTCTGTAAATAAAATCTAAAGAATCTTGAGGCTACTTTTTGAGTTTCTTGTCTCTCTATACCTCAGTTTTAACTTTCATTTTATTTCTATGTGCCTGAAGTAGGTTAAAAAAGCTTGTACTTCTTACTGTATGTCCTTAAAAAAAGTTACGGGGAAGAGGAGTTAACTGAGCTAACACTACAGACTGGCCCTCTGTGCCAGAAAGGCCTATACATGCTCCGAGTCTGTAACAGATTAGATGGGATTAGTCTGTTATCTTTCTAATATGTACACACTGGTGTTTGCCTTCACAGTTTAGATGGCTTCACAGGAAAATTCTTCAGTTTTCTGAGATGGTGAAGCAAACTCAGTGGCTTGGGCTGGGTCTGATTCTCCATATTCCCAAATTCCAGCCGTATCATCCAGCTGCCAAGCTATCGACATGCTGAGTGGGGTCATTCCTCTCACGGCTGTAGCTACAGCAAGCACAGCAGATACTCCATAAAATTCCAGAGCAAAGAGCTATTTCTCATTTGCAGAAGATGGTGAGACTCCTCCATTCACACTAGACTGGAAAGGCGTCATTTATACTTCAGCTGTTACTATTTCCATATACGCAGAACAGTATTCCTGGTGAAGGACAATCCTGCTGAGCATGTGGAACCAAATCCTGTGAAGAGCTGGGGTGACCAACACTGCTTTCTATAGCTTTCCTATGAATAAATTCCTGTCACAGAACCAGCACAGGAGCCTGGGTTCACCTTCAAGCATTTAGAAATGCAACTGAGGTAGGCCACAAAAAACTGAATGCAGTTTGCAGTTGAGCTCTGGAAACCCACCATTCAATGTGCTGCTTGGTTTAACCCCAGATAGCAACTAAGCCCCACACAGTCACTCATTCACCTTCCCCCATGAGATGTGGGAGAGATTAGGAAGAGTGAAAATGAGAAAACTCATGGGTTGAGATAAAGGCAGCTTAATAGGTAAAGCAAAAGCTGCACATACCAGCAAAGAAAAACAAGGAATTCATTCACCGCTTCCCATAGGCAGGAAGGTGTTCAGCCATCTCCAGGAAAGCTGGGCTCTCTCACACATTACAGTGACTTAGGAAGACAGACAGTGTAACTTTGAATGATCCCTCTTCCTTTTTCTTCCCTCAGCTTTATCTGCTGAGCATGACTTCATAGGGTATGGAATATTCCTTTGGTCAGTTGGGGTCAGCTGTCCTGGCTGTGTACCCTCTTATCTTCTTGTGTACCCCCAGCCTACTCATTGGTGTGAGAAGCAGAAAAGGCTTTGACTCTATGTGAGCACTGCTCAGCAATAGCTAAAACATCTTTGTGTTATCAACACTGTTTTCAGTGTTGATAATTCAAAGCAGAGCCCAATGCCAGCTACTATGAAGAAAACTTCATTCCAGCCAGAACCAGCACATGCTAATCATCCATGGCTAACCAGTTCTCACCAGTAAACCAAAAGTCAGAACTGCATTGGAAATGGGCAAGACAAAAACATGCTTTCTTATGGCTTATGGACATAAGTCATTAATGAGTTTAAGCCACTAAAATCTGAATTTCACAGGAAAAAGCTTCCCAAACCATACTGAGGTCAATGTCAGCAGCAATGCACCTGCAAATTGCCAGTGCAAATGAAGAGATGAAAAGGGGGCTATAATTCCACTATAGCCAGGCTTGGTTAAACACAAGGCCAGGTTCAAGAACTCAGATCAGAGATGGAGAGAAAAGGTACATAACGGCAGGGTGGTAAAAAAAGTTAATTAGACCCAAGAGTGCTATCCTGTCTCCACAACTACCAGTAAGGTAACTGGACTCAGCTTTCCTGTCATGACTAATGGTGGACTGTGATGAAGCTCAAAGTGGAGAAAAAAGTTTTCCATAAGGTAGGTAACTGCTACAACAGACTGCTCTTTCACACCTTCCAGGGCTTCTCCCCAGGAGACTAAACCTGTCATCTGTTCTAAGGAGGAAGGATGCCATAACATTTTAATTCCCTGGCCCTGTTTGATAAATGCATAGACTGTGGAAGCAGCTTTGGTTCATCACTGCTAGGTGATATATGAACTATCCTTTCAGTGACTGGGGTCCTTGATTTTTTTTTGTTGTTGCAGGCTTCCTTCTTTTCACTGCTTGTCTATTGTTCAAATCTTAACCTTTTAGAGGAAGGGATTATTACTGTAAGCATAAAAAACAGTCTGACAAGCCTCAGAGGGTAACACAAGAACTCCAAGGCAATGCAGCACACTAATAATCAAGAAATGAAAAAAACTGTAATGAATTCATCAGCAGTGTCATGTTGTAAAATATCAACCCATTTTTCTGGTTTGGATGCAGAGGCACACAGAGATTAGACATACATCTAACCTACAATGAAACATAAATACATAGTGGAGTTGGGGATGGGTTCCAAAATCTTTCTGTAGCTGAAGAGCTCACCTTTACTTTGGCAGAAACCTAGTCTTTTGAAAAATTACCATTAACTGAAGGCTAAATCTAGACAAACTTTTATAATGAAATACCTCACTGTGTACTCCAAGTATATCTAATCTCCCTTGGGAAATAACTACTGACTTGGGCACACCGTTCTTTTATCAGCCCGTGTTAATGTGCTTCTTAATTTTCACCAAAGATTGATGTCTCAGGAAACGCTAGTTCCATAAACTGCTGTTCTCCCCACTTAATGCATTCTCGGGAATGCATGCCTGTGTTCACCTGACAGCTGTCTTATCTGAAGAGGTCTCAAGTTCTGTTGCTTCTGCTGGGATGGATTTGACAGCAAGCAGGGCTCTACGCAGCAGAAATCAATCGTCATTTTTCCACACCCAGCATTAAGATATTATTTACATAGGACGCAAATTGTAGCAGAATTATTTGAAGACCTGCAGGATCACCTCTATGCAAGCATTAGGAGGCACTGCTCAACAACTTTTCTACCGCTGGAGCAGGTAAAGGGAGTTTTCAGGCTACAGGTGAAATGCTCGTTCCAGCGCCCGATTTGTATTTCGACTTTCTGATTACGGAAAGGCAGCGCTGAAATGGAAATCGCAAATCCGGAATTGCCTCCTGCGTGTGCGCGCCGCTGCCGCGGCTACGTGCTGCGCTGAAAATACCGGGCAGCGCCTGGGAGCCCCGCCAGCTCGCCGAGCCCGCTGCATCCCCGCCGCGGGACGAGGCGGCGCCCCGGCGGCGGGAGGGGCCCCCACAGGAACCCCCCCTTCTCAACGGCGTGGGTGGGGGGACCCAACCCAAGGGCTTGGCTCCCCGCCGGCAGCCTAATTGTCCTCGAGTGCCGCTGTCGCTACCGGCGCCCCCCGCGGAGGAGGCTGGAGACCTCCGCCCCGATCCGCCCTACTCGGACGGGGTCGCCTCTTCAAGTCACTGCCGACACCCCGGGCACCGGGCGGGAGAGGCCTTATGCTCCCACCCCACCTTGCCAGGGCCGGGGTACCGAGCTCCCCCCTTCCCGCACCTCCTGCGTCCCCCCCTGTCGCTCCCCCTCTAGCCCAGCGGCAGACGCGCTTCTCTCCGTGCGGGGATAAGGGCAGGCCGGGCTTGTTCCTGCCTCCAACTTCCCCTAAGTTAACTCGAGTTTCCCCCTCTCTGCGGGGTCTGCCTGGGCTCTCGCTCCTCCAGGAGGGCGGGAGGGAGGGGAAAGGCGTGTCTTGCCTGTGCTGCCGCTGCCGCCGCCGCTGCTGGAGGCAGATCGGAGATATAAAAGACCTGGCCAGGCGCCCGCGGTGCCTCCAGTCAGTGCGGACGCTCACGCCGGAGAGAGCGGGCGTAGCGGAGCGCGCAGAGCGGCGACGGGGGGCAGCAGCGCAGGCAGAGGCAGCGTGGGGCTCGCCGTGGGCAACCCCAATGCGTGGACTATCCGCTGCTGCGTTATGCTGGAGCTACAGTTCCGCTGAAGGGAGTTTGCGCACGGCCGGCTGGGCTGGACTGCAGCGCTGCTGTTCCTTATGAAGAAGGCACAAGTAAGTGAGACCGGGGGGCGAGGGGCTACCGGGGGGCAACGGCCGGACCGACCTGCAGAGCACGGCTGGACCGGCGGGATGAAGGTCCGCCGCGGACCCGGGCGGTGCTGGAGCGGAGAGCGGTGCGCGGGTCGGGCAGCCTCTGGGCGAAGAGTGCGCACCCGTGTCCGTGGGGGTGTCCGCGGGAAGCCGGAAGGTGAGAGGCGCCGGGGATGGCGACCGCTGCCCTTGGTTTGGGAGAGCGGGGTGGGAGGAGAAGAAAAGATACCGCCCGTCTTGCCGTCGTCGTCCGTGGAAAAGTTGCAGCAAGCGGCCTGATGGGCGGCTGAGCCGTGGGAGATCTGAGAAGGCACTTGGAAAAATTGCCTTAATAAATCAGTGGCCTGTGTTACACTGACAAGCTGAGAGTGAAAACGGGCAATAATCGGAGGCGGCGGTGGCGCGGTTGCTGCCGTGCGCGGGGCTCCAATCCGAACCGCTCCGTCTTGCGGAGCCGAGCCGGTGTGGCTGGCAGCTCCACATCCCGCCCCGCGCCCTCCCGCACCCGCTGCCAAGAGCCGCTCTGCGCCGTGGCGGGCGTCGCTGCCGCTATTTCTCCAAGTTCTGTAGAAATACAGAACAGTGGTTGAGCTGTGCATTGTTTTCTTGCAAGGATGCATGGGGACAGATGTGAGGGGAAAAGTCACCTTGTAACAATACACAGCTCAGGGAAACTCCAAGAAGTTGAAGGCTTCGCTTTGCGAGGTGCCGCCACCCTCCACCCTGGCCGACCTCGGGACTCGGTGCCAAACTGAGCTCTGAGAGTGAGCAGTGCAGCGGGTGCTGTGCTGGAGGTTTTGCCTACACCTCCACTTCTTGGTTAGGAACGAGATACTACCTGCTTTATCTATTTCTTGGCAGCTGCACGCCTGCAGCCTGTAGGCACTTCAGCATACAGTCATTGGAAAAATCACAAAATATACACAATATATCAATTTTTTTAAATGGAGAAGACCTTACTGAAGTCTTTGGGGCAGTTAAACAGTTTTTCAACATGTGACAGGAATTATAAATATTTGCTTTCTGAAATATCCAAATTTCAGCTGGCCCAAGCACTGGAGAATGTACCATGGTTAAGAAGTTATAACTTGGAGACTTAATTTTTGTGATGCTGAGGTACAGTTAAATGATCAACTCTGAATTCTAACAGCATATATCCATTGTTGTTACTTATTCCCTTCAGATGACTAAAGATGTCTTACACCGCAGAGCTGTTGTTTCAGACCTTATATACAAACTTGGTCAAATATGCTGAGTACATTATTAGATTGGAACGGTCTCTTAAAGTGTAAGAGACATACTTACGTGTGCTTAGGTATCTGCGTTCATTTAATACTGGAGTGTAATAAAGCCACAGGATGTTATCCTAGCCCATGGAAGCATATACATAGGGCTAGCTCCCCAGAGAAGAAAAAACTGTTCAGCAAGCAAATGAGGATATACGAGTGCAAGCAGTCAAGTGTTTTATTTCACATGTTCTGTAAACTTCTAAAGCCAACAGAGTACTTTTGCAAATTCAGAACAAAGCAGGAGCAATCTCTCTTTCCCTGTAAAGTGGGAAAGACAGGCAGTCTTGGCATTCGGGACCATATGGCTTGACTCAGGGGCTCATGAGCTGTAGCCTGTGGAACAGCTTCTTGTCATGGTGGTGAAGCATCTGTCAGCCTTCAAGCAGTTACGCTTCCTGCTTTCTGGAGGCAGTGACAAGACTCCTAGCTCTCCAAAGGATCATTTCCTATATTTTAAGGATTAGCAAACAAATGTGATACCAGACAATTAATCATTCCAAGGGGTTCAGAGCAGGAGATACTTCAAGAAGGACTTTCCACTAAAGCCACAAAGACCCTTGTGCAAAGAGAGAGCAAGTGAAGTGGATACATGAAGGAGGACACTCAGCACATTAAAAGCACAGTTTAACCTATATACTTTCCTCTGGCTACTTTTGCCATTGTCTAGACTGTCTAGCATAGTGAAAAGGATTGGGGAGCCAGGAAAGAAGTTTCCCTTTGTTATAATAAAATATTCTGCAATAGTACAGAAAGTGAGAAGCACTTAGTAGAACCTGGATAGTACTTAAAATAAATAAGGGATTTTGATGTTTGTGGTAATGTTACACAGGGATAATATATAACTAGTCCAGCTGAAGGAGTAGCTGAGTCACATGTCAGTGCAACAAAAGTGCTGAAAGACAAGTCACGCTGAACGCCAGACTCCAGGTTGGTCAGTTTATTTAAATCAGCCTTAACCTGAGAAACCACAGGAACTGCAGAAGCATGTTTCCCAGCAGTGTCAGCCCCAGAAGGATGGTTTTTGAAACAAAACAGTTTGATAAATATATAACCCTTGTTTTGAGCATGCCAACACCTTCTGGATTTTTTATATTTTTTTAAGTAATAATGCCTTTAAAAATCTGATTAAGCATTTGGGACCCAGTCATACAAATCCTTCCTCAATGGGACTATTTCCATGAATTAATCTTATTGAAGGATTACTTGTATGAGAGGATTTGCAGGCTTATATACTTAGTAATTAAAACTATTATCAGAAGTGAGTTTATGCTCATTTGCATGCATGCTAGTATTTTACAAGTAAAATATCACTGATGTGCTATTTTGAATAAAACAGAATGAGTGGTGCTAGTGTGATACAATCTTGCAAAACCATGGCAGATTTATGATTTGCTTGTTCTTTGTATGATTTGAAGGCAGTCAAAATAGGATTAAGTTACTAAGAAATATGCTGCAAGGAGGAGTCACCCATGGGGCTAGCTCAGAAGGCTGCTAATGGTAAGGTATCACAAATACTTGGTTCAGCAGTGGATTAGATGCACAACCTCTTAGAAACCTCAGTATTAGAAGTGTCTTAGATCTCAGCTTGGCTTTTTACCTCTGAACATGTGCATTATTAATGGTAGTTAAATGACCTTCTTAGGTTGTCCTATCCATGATATGTTTGTGTCACTGAAGTGGGAGACTAGAAATAACTATGGAATAGTACCTGGAAAAAGAATTAGTACACAAGTTGCCTGCTCCAGTTCTCATATCAGCAGGCTAAATTAGAAGAGCAAAGCAGGTATCTGATACCTTTGTGCGAGCTTGCAGAGTCATTGTTATAGGGGAAATAGTGAGCTCTGATCTCCCATCTTTCTTGCTCATTTCGCAAAAAAATGAACTCTAGCTACTGTAAGACATTTGGAGCTCATGGTAGGTATAGATCTGCTACTCATCAGAGAGAAAAAGAGAACTTGCTGGAGCCAGAAGGATGTGCTGTTCACATTGAGCAGTGGACTAAGGTCTCTTTTCTTCTTTCCCCTGGCTTTGACTCTGCTTAGGGGAGGGGAGGACAGTTTGTGAGTACTGCAGCTGGAAAGAACATCCTGGAATAAAGTGTCATATACAGAATAAGCAGAAGGTGACCTGGAAGAATTAAGGATGGGGGGAGTGTTTTGTAAGGCTTGTTTATGATCTTTTATTTTTATTTTTATTTTCTTGGCGTGCTTGTATTGTGCTCCTGTAGGTCTTTATTTCTGTGAACTATGCAGCACTTGGCTTTGTACTTTAAACTGAGGCAGCTAACCCAGTCTGCTTCTGACCCAGTTCTGCCATCACACTGAAATCTAGTTTCTCCCTTTGTACACTGCATGTCAGTCGTTCAGGTGCAGTTCTGCAAGCTGGCAGTGCCATTCTCCAAGTTTTGTTATGTGACTTAATGGTATGCTGGCTCATGTTATCGCCATATTGTACGAAAGTTAAGAGTTGGCAAGATGCAGCCCTTGGCTTCGGGTGGGCAATGCTCAGTATGCAGTATGTAAACACAACACCCATTTATTTGAAGCAAGGCAGGAAAAATCTCCCTACGCAATTCCATTTGGGTGGTGTGGGAGCTGACAGATGAAAACGAAAGCATTTGTTCGCACCCTGGTCTTTGGTATGCCAAACCTGAGGTTAGCCACCCTTTTAACTGGATTTGTAGTGTCCAAATCCACTTGGGTTAGTTTGTTGTTGCTGTTCTTTTTCCCTGTGCACTTGTGGAAAAGGGAAATGGACAAATGCAAGGTGAGTGGAGAGGGGTAGCACTCCTCTTTATTCTTGTGGGTTGGCCCATGTTTGCATTGCGTACCGAGTCATATGTAAACCTGCAAAAAGGTGTTCGTAAATATTACTGATGCCGAAATAACTGACGGTGGGGAGCACGTAAAATAGCAGTTTCGTTGCTGGATAGTTTTAATTATTGGCAAATGTAAATAGTATCAGACATTTATTAGTATGAGAATGAAAATGTGTTAAACATAGAAAACAAAAATAGTGTATTTGATTAAAGCTGGTAGCATGAATATATCTGACGTCTATGAAAGTAGATACGCTAATGGACACATTATTTCTACTGTATGTCTAAATAAAAGCCAATTAAGGAATTCAGATTAATGAACACTTGAGATCATAGTAATGTAGGCAGTAAATTATTGTCTAATTTCCTATTGTTATCTGATAGCCACCAGGTGAATGATTGGTTGCTGTTTCTTGTTTTCAATGTTTTAAATTATACAGGGTAGATGGATGCAATAACCATTTTAAATCCAATTAGGAATTTTCTACTTTATACATATTTTTGTGTTTTCGTGGCTGCATGGAGCACACCTAAGTAAGAATGCATGGTGAAAATAGCATCAGATCTAAGGTATTGCTTCAAGGAGGCCCTTGTGGAGCTCTCTGCTTTGCAGCCATGCCATGCTTTGGAACACTCTGCAGAAAGTGGGTAAGTAAGTCAGTCCTGAGCTTCCAGCTGTTCATCAGCACTTGAAGCAACACTAGAAGTGAGACCAGTTGGCGCAGGCTTGGGGGTTTGAGTGCAGGTTTCCCCCTGGCAAGGCCATTAGCTGACCACTGCTTGACAGTCATCAATGCTCCTGGAAGGATCTCTCAAGCAAGTCTGCCTTTCAGGTACCTTCTAGCCCCAAACCT